TATTGATTTTCTGTATAATTTATTTTAATATATTATATTTTTTTTTTCATAATATGAATGTGTAACTATTTAAAATACATAAATAATATCAACTTGTAATATTGAATGTTATATGAAAACGTGTGTTTTTGGCGTATTGTCACAGATTAGTAGATGATAAATCTCCCCAATACTTTTTGTTCTAAGAGCTATCTTCACCTCTATATGAAATTTAGAAAATTACAATGACGAGTTAACTTAAAAATCTCGTTATATTTACCACAACGCGATCACATTTTTAAAAAGGTCAAAAATAAAAAAAAACACAGCACAGTGGGGTCGCAGCACAGTGATGATGTAGCATAGATAGGTCCAGTTAGATGATATATGACAGTGATTAAAATAAATATCATAAAAATCGATAGATAGTGTTAAATTTTAAAAATTGGTTTATATAAATAATATTTCTTCTAAAAAACTATATTGATCCATACATTTTTCAAAAAGTTATATAAATATAATGTTAAAAATTTTAAATATAAAATCGAGAATTTTTACACAAAAATAGCATTTGATAGATACTATAACCATGAAGACAAAATAAAGTCCGAAATTCAACATAATAAAGTATATTACATTAGCTTAAATTTAAAATATAAAAGTGTCAGAGTTTCCGGAACACTTTAAACAGTTAAGTAAGAAAAGTTAATTTTTTCTGAAAAAGTTGTTATTTTGTTGTCACAAAAATATAATAACTAAATACTTAGAGTCTCTATAAAAAAAAAAATTATATTGATTTGGTCATTTTTAAAAAAGTTATGACAATTTTAAGTAAAAAAAATTGATAAAATGTCGAAAATTAGCAATTTTTAAATTTGTAATTTTATAAAAATAATTTACTAAAAATAACCCCCCTTCAAACAAAAAATTGTAATTGTGTCACGAATAAACACCATAATTAAATTTGAAACATAACCTCTAGAATCAGGTATGTTGTAAGTCTTGTATGCGTTCACGATAGAACTTATTTATATATTTTAAATTATACTAAAAATAAAACAAATTTTATGAAAATTATAAATATTATAATAAAATTGTGATGCTTGTAATAAAATAAGCATAAATAATGATTTCATTTATTAATATGATTTAAACAATGAACAATGTAAGAGCAAACTTTTCTTTATTTAATTTTTTCAAATCTAAATGTTGTTGTACCTACTTTCTTGAACTATATAGTGAAAAAATATGCCAATACATTAAATTTAAAGCAATTAATTTAATAGTATTTATTGAAAATAAAATTGATATTTATAATTATAATAAGAGTTTTGCTTACTGTTTTTGACTTCATCCGTGAATAATTTGTCGATATCACTATCCTCCATACCATGTAGCCATTTAAAACTGTTAAATAGTCTTGTAAAACTCTTATAGGTTAAACGTCTATTTGTTTTATTTGTATTAAAATACTTTATTAATGAATCCTTGCTTTCGGCATTTAATTCTCCGCTCTAAAATTAATTATATGGATTAATAATAATACCTTTATAAATTTGAACTTTTAAATTTTTAGAAATAACTATAAATACTGTGTCATAACCCTTCTGTGTTAGGCACAGTAGGGTTGTGGCACAGTACTGACATTGTATTGACACGACTTACGTCGCAAAAATGTGGTCGACACTGGTTTTGAGGGTAGAGACCCGTGGGCCGTTTATTAAATGAGCGACAACAGATTATTTTAACAAAAATAAAACAAACCGAAAAGATAAACACAGTAATAATAATCTTCGCATAATATCGCGGCACTTTCGCTGGCGTCGACGACGCGATGTTCGGCGTAATCCTTGGACGGCAAAATGGTTAGCAGCGTTGTAGGCGACGGTGCGCGGGTGCGGTTCGGCTGTCGACGTTGTCGCTTTCACAACGGGAGGAAGACTCTCGCACCATTTGCGGCGGGTCGTCGTCGGCCNCAGTGATGGTATGAAAGTATCGGCAATATTCACGCAGATAGAAACAAAATTTCCCGTTTTTACTCAAAATTTCCTTGCAGTGCTGACATCTAGTGGAATATGACTGTAATATAAAATCACAGTATATAAAATTATAAAATGTATTTATAAATATTTTGAATCTTATTAGCTTTGTATTAATTTATGAAGCTTGTGAAAATATTCATGCTGACCATCCCTGATGTATTTTTACTAGCTTTTACTAGCTGTACAATAATACTCTTAAATTAATCGCAAATGGAGTACATAAAATTATTTAATAAACAAACAACAAATATGTAAACAACTCGTTTATTTATAAATCACAACTTTTTTTAAAGGTATCATTAAAAACCACTTATATAAAAATATAAATAAAAAACATCTTAATAATGAACATTGTTCATAAATCAAAATTTATAATCTTTTATTTCAAGCCATTCTTTTCTAAATAATTTAATGTGAACTCTTTTTTTTTCTTCCTTTGATAGTTCGTTCCTTAATGCTCTCTTTTTTTTTGGAGTTGATGGTCCACAATCATTATCGGAATCCATGGTAATTTATCAATGGTAACTTATTTTTTTTGATATTAAGAAAGAAAAAAAATTTAACGAATCAATAAAACTTAACAAGTCAACAAAAAAGTTAATATTTTTACCTATCAAAATAAATTTGTATCTAAAATCTTATCTAGTTTCCAAGTTAAAATGATAACATTGTCGTTATTGTGGCGACCCGTCCGCTCTATGTGATAATACTACACACGATCTCATCTACCTTGTTAATACACGTTTTTATGTTAAGATCTTTATTTTATAATTATATATTTTGTACAGAATAATACGCTCCATAGTGCAATAAACCATTTATATACGTTTGTAATAATCGTTGTTCATTATTTCTTTTCTTTTCTTTATTGGAGTGTAATACACACACCTCCAAATTATTAATTTAATCTGTTATCATTATTACAAATTTCATTATAATATTTGTACCTAACTACAGATTACAGTAAAATAATAGTGAAGTTACCAACCACTTATAATATGTACCAACCATAAATATATATATATAGAATCTATAAAATGTATGAGTTAAGTTACATGAAAAATCGAAATAACCAAAATATAATTTTATAAAATAATAAAAAAAATACAATTTTAGGAATACAAAATTTCCCGTTTTAAGGATCATTTTTGCTTTAGATTCCCTGCATTCCCGTTTAGGAAAATTTCACCAAAATTTCCCTGCGTTCCGGGAAATTCCCTTCAATATACCATCACTGACGGGAGGAAGACTCTCGCACCATTTGCGGCGGGTCGTCGTCGGCCGTGCGGCATTTGCTGGACTTTGCACCGTAGCGTATAACACGCGGTGTTGGTCAGTCAAATACTCATAGTAGGGCGACGGCTGATAAAGGTGGCACGAGTCGCGGGGCATCGTGTATAACGAAGCGACGCGGGCCGTGTCAGNGCATCGTGTATAACGAAGCGACGCGGGCCTTGTCGGTATAATTGTATAAAAATATTTCGATACAAATTTGTTGATAATATTTAATTTTTAAAAGGAATTATTGTTAGAAAACAAATAAATTCTATTTCCTTAATTAAATCTTGAGAACAATTTTATGATTTATAAGTATAATTCATGAATAAATTCTTATTATAGTAATTAATTTTAGAAATTGATAATTAATAATTTAGTATTGTAATTTTTCCGGAGAAAGTATATAAAAAATTAGAAATTACAGTTCAATTATTCTAACACTATTTAGTTAATTATTACTTCAGTAATGAAATTAAAATTGTTATTTATCATAAACTATGGGAACTACAATTTTTTTTGGACATTTTTATTATCTTTTAATATACATATTGAAAGGACAACACGATAAACTATAATGGTACAGTTTAGATGAAATATTGTAAATGTACTATTATTGTATTATTACTCGTATTATTGTATAATATGCGGCAACATCGTGTGGGATTTTTGCATTCGCATTATGTGGTGGCGGCGCTGGAAAAATGTCATGCCTAACAAAGTGATAAGAAGATAAAATAATTGGTTGGTTATGTTTTAAAAAAGAAATGAAATACGTAATGATATCTATGTATTAAAAAATGAACACTTTTGTTTTTCGTTTTCTCTCTAAATAAAAACTAACAAGTAACAATAAGATTTTTCATGATGAATTAAATGGAAATATCAACAAACTATGTTTGAGAGAACAGCGAATAAATACGCACGAATATCATCTATATTTGAACTCCTACATCAATGAACAATGCATNTCTATATTTGAACTCCTACATCAATGAACAATGCATCACCAGTACAACTGAAATTAAGGTTAGAAATATAACTACCACTAATCGTAAACATTCTAAATAGTATATAGAAATGAATATGTTTATTTTTGTATATATTGATATTTATATAAAATTTTAAATTGTTGTTTAATACAGAAACGAATAAATACTTCTAATGTTAACGAATTGTAATCAAAACTAATTTTTAATTTGTAAAATAAATTAAATACCATTTCA